TATATATATATATATATATATATATATATACAACATATATATCCATCATTCATTCATACCTTGTGGTTGAAGACTGCCTTCAGTGCTCCCATGCTGTGACTGAATAAGAAAACAAGGACAAAATCAACACATGAAAGTAAAAAAAAATAAAAACACGGTTGTTTTGTTACCTTGTTAGGCTGAGGTTCTTGTGCTGGTGCTGGTGCTGGTGCTGGTGCTGGAGTTGGAGAGTCAGTGGTAGTAGTAGCAACAACAGTCTTAGCCTGAAGATGACAACGTTAGTTTATGCTACACAAACATAATGATTCTGTCTGGTGGAAAAAAGAATGCATAAACCTTGAAGATGTTATCTTACATGAGTCTCCTTGAAAAGAAGAAGCATTGGAAGCAGGCAAAAGAGAAGGATGGTTAGGTTTGTAGGCATATTGCTGACTCACTGCGACACTCCTTCAGACACAGAGGGAAGTTGTGTTATGTGAAGAATGGTTTCCAAGTAGAGCAGAGTTGGGTACTTATATGGGAAATTGGGTGAGACTTTGTCCCTTTTTTTACCTGAAATTTGATGCAAATGGTAGCGAAGAAACAGCCATTTTTTTTTCATTATGACCACTGCAGATTCTACAACATAGCATATTAAATTGGCTCTTCTCACACCTCCTCTTTCTTATCACAACACGTTATATCGTTCTCAATCATATGCTGAATTTGTCTCTACTCGTAACTATCATTCTTTACTCTCAGTTAATATTATCACAATGTTCTGTTAAATTTTCTTAAATTTAAAAAATAAAACATGTATCTAATTTTCATCTAATTTGCAGTAAAAGTGGTTAATATATGAATATTGAAGAGTTTAGTTTGTCTATTATAAGTTAGAAATAATGAGAGTTTTAGTATAGTACGTGATGTTACATTTTCAGTTCCTTGATAACCGAAATGAAGGGTTTTTGTGATGCTTGGAAAATAACTCATTCACAACGTAAGAATAAATATAAGCATTCACCGAGGTTAACAAGTAGATTCTGATAATATTATTTAATATATAAAAAAAACTCTGAAAATGTACTTATTTTTGTGAAAAGAAATTATAATCCAAGTGATAGTAGTGATAATTTTGAATTCTCTAGAGAATATATATATATATTTATATAAAACTTTTTCAACCTTTCTATAACAGTATGTTACTGTCCCCATGAATGTGGAAATGGAAATAGAACATGTTGGTGGTTGAAAGAGAGACATGTGTTAGAGAAACTTTGGAACGTGTCCTTATATTATTATAGCATGGAATCATTAGGGAATATTTATGTGACATAAGAACTTTTGGAACTCATATATAATTTTTTATTCTTTATTATTTGTTCCAAATGAAGGGTTAGACACCTTTAAAATATAGAATAAAAAATCACTACTTTAAGATTGGAAAATATGAAATATTACATTTTTTAACTAAAAATTTAAATTGAAGTATAATATATAACAGATGCTGATTTGTAAAATAAATAATCTTTAAAGATTATTTACCCACATAAAAAAAAAGTGAACTTTCTTCTAAAATACTAATGAGGTTTATATTTTAATCTTTTTTAAAAGATAGAAAGTTTAAGTGAGGAGATTTTACTATATGAAAGTAGAAAATTGAAAGAAAGATTAAAGAATATGATGGATGCATGTGAATGATAGATTGTGAGATGTGCACATAGAAAGCGATAGAAGAAGAAAAAAACAGCATACAATACGATCTCAGCATTTCTTTATCTTGTCTTATTTTTAGAAAGAAACAAGTTTGGGAATCCTTCTAATCACTGAATGCCCGTGAACCCTTTCATGCATTATTCTTCTTTTTCTTTCTTACTCCTTAATTATTCATAAAAAAAAAAAACTTTTCTTTCTCAAAATAACCTAAAACAAATCATAGCTGCTTTTTAATTAACAACTCATAATGAAATTAAGTATTTCTTAATATGTGCATTACAAAATTCCCAAATAGGACAAGTGGAAGAGAGAGTGAGATGTCTCAACCACACAAAGAGGAGTATTCAATTTGTTGTGTTGGATTGGTCTCGTGAAGAACCATTTGTTTGTATGTGTCGATTTTTTAGGGTTTTTACTTAAATTTGGATGCTTTTACTAATAATGTATACTATCAAAATTCTCACGCCATTTGTAGTAGGAAGAGATCACATTGCAAGGTATATCCTCAAATCGTTAATTTCGAAAAAAAAAATAATGATAATTTTAAATACAAATTTGTTACATTCATATTTAATATTATTTTTCATTTTTCTTATAAAAATAAAAATTCATCTTTTTATAACTATTTTATATTTATAATATATGTCAAATGATGTCAAATGAATGGTAATATGTATCAACATATTATTATTCATGGAAAAATGTTTTCTCAACCCCTCATGTCTACATGAAACAAAAATGGTGAAATATATGAATGATATATTAAGATATGATAAAAAAAATACAGAAAAATAATGAGTTTTTATTAAGTTGATCTTCAATGTAGTTACTTACTAAGGTGGTTTTGAACAACTTTGTTTTAAGAAAAGTTATTGTATTGAATATAGTGTATATCAAACAGTTATTAATTGTTAACAGTTTGTTTACTATCACAATAATGGTCAATCAGACTACCTAAAGTCAACCAGGACGAATGATTTTTGGGCCAGTGTTTAAGTTATTGGGCCAAGGGTCCAGCGGAAGATAAAATAATCAAAGGAATAATCAAGAATATCTTATTGAAAATCTGATTAAAGATATTGATAAAGCAACTGTTTATCACAATTTAGTATTTAAGTCTGATCGGACGTAAGTAGAACGTAGAGGAGTCTCAGTTGAACGTACTTGGCCTTTAGCCTTGTCATTGTATTTATAAGTGTTTTATAAGCCAAATAAAAATAACTTTACCTGGACATCCGGTTAGTTACTCATAAACGGCTTTATCAATGTCTTTAATCAAATCTTCAATCAGATATTCTTAATTATTCCTTTGCTTATTTTATCTTTTGTTGGACCCTTGGCTCGATAACTTAAACACTGACCCAAAAACCATTCATCCTAGTTGACCTGGTTGACCACTGTTGTAGTGGTGATAACCGTTCGGTATACACTATATCCGATATCATCGGAGTAAAAGATGTGGCATTACTTTTATATAACACAATTGTTTATTTACGTAACATGTTAATTAAGGTAGAGAGTGTATGAAATCTTACAAAGCTACATCTTATAATTGTTCAAATAACAATACAAAAGTAATTTTTGAGAAAAAGTATTGGTAAGATAAGAAGTGGAGTGACCCTGGGGGCTATTTCTTCCTGCACCTCCTTTTTTCTACCCATGAAACCTGATAATCTAATTTTACTCCACGCTAAAATTTATTAGAATTCTGAAATTATTTACTATTGGGCTTCGAAGTCTTAGTCCCTTAAAACAAATGGGACTTCCCCCTTTCTACACCCCATAATTATTAACTGCACTCCCCCTTTCACATATATATATATATATATATATATATATATATATATGTATGTATGTATGTATGTATGCTTTAAAAAAAAAAATCAAGCTATTGGTATAATCACATAAACCTAATGAAGATCATCATGTTTTTGCCCTTTCTTCTTACAATCTCTTTATTGCTTTAAAGAAGATTTATTCTTTTCATAAAACTTTGGTATCTACAAATTCATTCTTTAAAAGCAAGACATTACAAAAATAAGATGTAGTTCTTAAGTTTAAGACTTAACATGTTCAAAATGCTAGACACTTTATGAGAACAAAATTTTTGAGACGCAAGAAAAAATTAACAATAAACCGTGATCATTATAAGGTCTTGAAAAAGACATACACTCAAATTTAAGAATTGTGAGACTCAAATAGCTTCAAATCATAGGTACGATCATAGTTAACACAACACATGTAAAAAGTTGAATTGAAACTCATTCAAAGGATGATTCTAATACAATAGACTAACTATAAGATTGTATACCCGAAAAAATAGAGGAGTTTCAGAAGAACAAAAATTACAATACACAAGTTCAATGGTTCAATGTAAAACGTCTATTAAAGGAAGCTTTTACATGTCAAATAAACTAAACGTCCATGTTTTATATAAACTCTTGCATGTTAAAAAGCTATAACTTTAACAAGTGCATTTGATAGACCAATTTTAGAAAGAATTCATATTTGTTAATATTTCACTTAGCCATGTTCAACTTTCATTAGTGTTATACGAAGATTGGTGAAAAAAAAGTGAGATAATTGTTTATAATAATAATAATAATAATAATAATAATAATAGATTAGATATTTGTTTGATATCCATATTTATTTTCAATTTTAGCAAACTTATTTTAGCAACATTAAACAACTCTTTTTAACCTTAAAAAACTCCAAACCGTTTATTATAATTAAAGTTTATCATTTCCTTCCTATACTATTCAACTAACCCACTATTTCAAATAGTCCATGAATTCAACTAATCCATTAATTCTGTCAACAACATATTTACTCCATAACTCTGTCAATTCAATTGCTAATTTAATTTTTAAAATATTATAAAAACACCGAAGTCGTAAATGACTTGAATTTTATTTTTAAAAAATGGTGTATTTAAATGACTTCTTCCATTTAAAAAATATTTCCTAAACATAATTTTTCTTGTCACTAAGTTTAAAACGAGACTCACTATTGTTCCCTAATAAGGATAAGAAAAACATAGATATCAAAGTAATGCTCACTCGTTCCTTTTTATATATATGTGATGTAAAATTTTGATATAAATTTTAAAAAATAATTATTCAAAAAATCGAGTATATGACTTTATATTATACCCATTATTTCTCCGATTACATTAACTAAAATGTTGCTATTAATGGGATATTAAATTAAGTGAAAATATTATTACATAATTTATGTCTCAAATTAATGTAATAAATAAAATATTAATTAAAAATGACATTTGAACGCATTTAAATATAAAGTAAAATTTATTAGTTTCTTTATAAAGTGCTTCTTCAATTTAATTTCACACCTAAAAAATAATAAATGTGGCAAGAATGTTCTAAATAAAACCTAGCACGTGCCATAACAAAGGCAGGCTTCACCTTTCACCATCCAATCTAACGTGGCATTTCATAGCCATGCAAACGACACCCTTACTCCACGTGTCTCCTCCACCACCTCGTTTTCCAAACAATTTAAACACGATGCCCAGAAACCTCAAAACGACACAAATCATTATCATCTTCATCTCACTGTAACTCCGAAGCAAACCTTAAGGGAAACAAAGTTTTGCTACAGTACGAGAATGTCACCACCACCATGGGAAGCTCTCATTCTCGTAGCCACCTACCTTGACCCCAAAACCCTAACCATAGCTTCTTGCGTGTCAAAGTCATGGTTCTCTTCCATGTCATCCGATCACGTTTGGAAGCCTCTCTTGACTACCCAATTTCCCTCTCTGGCCAACCTTTCCTCTGCCGTCGCCTACCGGCGCCTTTTCGTGATGGGCCACGCGGCTGCCGCTCGCCGCAGCCAGAGGCCCCCGAAGCCGAGTCTCTCGCTCGAGGACCTTGTCTTTTCCGTCTCCGTCTCCACCCGCGATGGTGTTGTGGCTTCCGGCGTGAGAGCGGGTGAGACATTGTGCATGGAGACGGCGGGGGTGTTTCGCTTTGGAGTGGGGTGTGACGGCGGCGTGGTTTTGAAGGAGGGGGAGGAGGAGGTGAGGGTGACGTGGAACGTGGTGCTGAAAGGGTGGGGAGGGGTTTTCACGGCGGTGGAGCGCGAGGGGAAGGTGAGGCTGGTGGGTGGTGGAGAGGGGTGGTTCTGGGAGGAGCTTCCGGCGCCGGGGTGCTGCTCCGTCGCGGTGGCGAGTGCGTTGGTGGGGGATTTGAAAGTGGGGATGTGTGAAGAGGAGGGTGGGAATGGAGTGAGGGTGGAAGAAGTTGGTGTGGGGATTTTGAGGGTTGTCGATTGGAGGTATGTTAGTGTTGAAGATGGACTTAGGTATTTCCAACATTTTCTTCTCACTAATCATGTAACATAAATTTCTCAACAATGTATAAATTTTCTTAACCTCTGAAAACATTGCACTTTTAATTCTCTGAAAAATTTTAAGATTAGGAAATCTTAATGCGTAAATTTTATATTAATTTATAAAGCTTATATTTTTAAACTAAATTGTAAGAATTTTAATTTTTATATTAAATTGTAAAAGAGTTCGAGATTGTTTATGGGGTATGTCTAAAAAGTTTACGGGAGTTTGTGACTAACCATGTATGTTTTGCTTGCAATTTATTTAAATGTAAAATAAATTCTAAACCAAAAACTTTGCATCCATTAATAGCAATTAATAGCATTGCTAGATGGTTTCGGTTAAAAAGTATACTATTTTTAATTAGTTTCAATTTTTATTTTTTAATATAAATGTATTAATATATTTTTTATAAATCAAATAAAGATATAAATTGCCTTACTTTTAAAATTAATACTGAAATATAACAAATATGTATAAGATAAAATAAAAAGGTATAAAGAGATTGTTTAGAAAAACATAAGTTAGCGTCTTAAAAAGGTTACTTCGAGTAGCTTCTCAAAAAAGGCTAAAAGTTATTAAAAAAGAAATTATAAAAAAATGTAAATTACTCTGAGCAACAATATATTGCTAATAAAAAAAAGAAATAAAGTGAGATAATTACGAAGCTCGTGTTTTCCGAAAAATACCTTGATTATAGGGATTGCATAAATCCTCCATCGGAAGACGAGAAAAAAAATCAGCAATTGTATTTTCAAGAACCTTAAATATTGACTTTTGCATGATATTGAGAAGGAAAATGACACATTTAGACACGCGCATACGTGTCTAAATTTGAGTGGTCCATTTTCATTTAATTTTTTTAATTGGATCACTCAAATTTAGACACGTGTGCGCGTGTCTAAATGTTGTCAAAAATGGTTGTTCAAGTATCATTTTCCTATTGAGAAAATGTTCTAAGATTCCAAAAAATTAATACTACAAGAAATTGGAATCCAGTGATTTATCTATAAATGTTTTGTAGATATTTTAATACGGTGCTCATTATTACCATTTTACTTTAAAGATAGAAGAAAAATATTCAAATTAGATATTGATAAAGGAAAAATTGACGAATAATAGGAATAATAAAGGATAGTTGATTTATGGAGAATTAGTAGATCAAAGAAGCAATAAAAGATATCATAGAAAATATGGGATAAAGTGAGATCCATAAAGGAAAGAAAAAAAGTAATGGACCTTAATGTTATATATATTATTCATTATTAAGTCTATATTTTCATTACTTATTTTAGTTCAATAATAAAACTAATGAGTATATATTACAATGCTCAAATTCATAAAATTTTGGAGTAAAATAGTTTGTTTTTTGAAACAGCATTTGTTTGTATTCTTAAATACCTTTTTTTTTTATCTTTTTCTTTGTAAATTATTGATTTAGTTAGAATTGGTATCTAGATAATATTTAATATTAGTTAAAAGTGATTGTACTTCAAAAAGTGTACAATTAAGAGTGATTAATATTCAAAATAATACTTACATCATAATGTTAATCTGTTTAATATTAAGAGTGGAATTTTATGTAATATGACTTATGTAATATAAGTGATATGTATAGTATAAATATTAATAAAATTAATATAATAGAACAATTTAAGTTAAAGAATATAAAATAATATCATACAATTATTCTAAAACTAAAAATAACTATAAGTTTAATATTTTATATACAATTCCAAAGTAAATAAAATGTTTTATTTACATAAGGTTTTCGAAAATAAAAATTTACATAAGGTTTTCGAAAATAAAAATTATAATAGCTAACTACTTTACTAAACATATGCATCATTGTATGCTCTATAAAGATATTATCACCCTCTCCTCACATCAATCAAGAAAAAGAAAACCAACATACACAAACAAACAATAAACACACAAAAGGATAAACTAGTATTAAAAAGAAACAAAAACATACACCGTTAGGATTTGTCACACGTCAAATTTCATACAATAGTTAAATAAACATCTTAAACATACTATGAATCTAAACTCAATCATTCGGATATATGTATTGATGTAAGACTATGACAAGTTTTAGCACTTGTAGTGGTGGAACAACTACCACACAAGGCTAATTCGTTTACCACCTATGGAAAAAGAACACAAGATCATAGACTAAAATTTCCTACTACTTCTCATCACATATCCCCTTTTCTATCTTATATGTAGTGATTATTGAAGCATCAAAATAACTTCCAAGCTGAGTCTCTACATCAATACATCACTTTACTTGAAACCACCACTAAGAATTTCACCCTTGAAATTCTTGTGCACCCAGACCTCAATTGCATACTTAACATCATATATATAAAATCATACAATTCAATAATTACTTGTAGACCAACTTCAGTCCATAATATAGTTAATAATTACAAGAAATTAAAAGAAAGTAAGCTTCCAATCACATTCTAAACAAGTCGCTCAATGCATGCCTCGCCTAGCGAAAACACCCCACTCGTTCACCGAGCCACCATTCACTTTGCGAATAGCAAAATAGAGAGTTCTTGTCACCTAACGAGAAGTCTTGCTCAACTACTGCTACATCCATATTTCCCCCCAAACTAACTCACTCAGCCCCATGGCTCACTCTACAAATGCAGAAACAAAGAGCGTTACTCGCTTAACGAGCCTGTAGAATTATGTAGAACACCAATTATGGAGAGCCTACACTCCCTAAACCTCACATATCCTAACTTATACACCTCCACAAACATCTACAACTTTCATTTAGTATTTTAAACCTAAATTGACCTATTCAAGTGTGTATGACCGAACTCAAACCTCATTAAACTTATTTTACCATGAATTCCTAACTCACTGCAACTAAAACTCCACTCATAACTCATAACTCAATCCTACTCATTTCTCATAACAATTTATTAATTTTAATCTCCAAACACGTAACAATTGACAAAAATCAGACCCTGAACCCTCACTTTCTTCACAAAACCTTCACTTTATATTTTCACTAGTTAAAATCTTTAACCATGACCCAAAACTAGAATAAAACTTAACCTACCAACCATTAACTCATTCTACCTCAAATTTAGCTTAACTAAATATCTAAACAAGTTTAAAATAACCATACAATAAACTTTAAACCTCAAATTTTCCCATTCAACCTGTAATTCAAAATTTCACCTATCAAAGCCTCCTATTTGACCAGAAACCAAACATAAGATCTATCTATTCACTAACCTCAAAACAAATCATTTTTCATCATTGAAATTATACTCCAACACAACAACCTACCAAGTACAAGTCATTCATACCATCATTCATAAAAAACCACCATAGATCAATAAACACGTCATCATACAAAATACCAAATCTTTATTAATAGCTTATTCAATGATCAAAACCATTTCACATCATAACAACTCATTAAATTAAACGTAGTTTCATTACACAAAAATCATGACCTAAACTCAAAGTTTCTAGATTAAAATTGAAGACAAGGTTAGCTTCCCTTGCCTATTTGGAAAGCTACAAAAGCTCTGTGAAGAACATTATCCCTGTCTCAGCTCAAAGAACTCTAGAATTGCCTACAAATCATGAAATTTTGATAAGAATAAATACTTAGGACCACTTATCAACAAAGAGATAGAAAAATATATCAAGTGACATATGCGAGAAATTTTAGATACATGTGTCTTAAACTAAGAATTAAGGAAAAATAAGTAAAAACTTACTTACTCTATAAGAGAAACAAGTAGAGAATGGAGAACTAATTGTTGTGATCTCCTAGACACTTCTTGATCGTCAAAAATATTAGAGAAAAGAAAGAAAAAACTCGAAGAATGAGTAAGAAAAATGATAAATATTTTAGATAATAAAACGTATTTATGAAATTATATTTATATAATTAAATTATTTTAACATTAAAAATTTGATTATTTTAAAACATTTATTAAGTGAATTTATCCACTTAAAATACGCCTCCGTATTAAGAAGGTTGTAAAAGTATTGACAGTAGGTTTATCAACTTTAAAACATTATTTTATTAATTTTCGTCGCATGCTATTATTTTGAAAAACTACAAAATATTTTAATACATAATTCAATATTCTTTTTCATATTTCTACCATGTGCATCCTTGAATTGACATGTATATCTATGAGCACCCTAAGGTTTGTAACAAACTTGTACAAAGTTGTTTAAAGATTATGTATGTCAACTTTCTTAAAGATTATATTTATATCCTTATTTGCTATAAAAGATAAAATATTTAATAAATTGTATTTTGTATTGAATGGAAAAAAAAATCATTAAAAACGAAGATTAATTTGTCACATTAATAATATTTTTAGAATGGTGACTAAACTAATTATTTTATCTAGGATGTGTGACAAAATTACTTATGTAAATGAAAATCTATTAATATATAAACGCGAAACTGTTGTGGGTGTGAAGTAGTGCACTTGTCTTATTTCACAGCGCATCAAATTGATTTCCGCTTTCAAGATAAGGCAATATGTGGAACAAAGTTACTGTCGCTTCAGTTTTGCTCCTTTCACAACAAAAAAACGGTCGTGGGAACTTTCGAACATAGCACCATTCACTTCACCGGAAAACAAAACAAGGCCTTCTTCACCTTTTTACATTTTTTTCCCATCTTCATCCGTTCAATGGTTATGGCTACTATGATGTCTGAACATGCTTGTCCCACAAGAACGGTTCATGAAGTTTCATCTTCTTTCAGCTCTAAATGGCGCTCTTCTCTGGGAAAGAAAAAGCCGAATGTTCACCTGTTTCAATGTTCTCTCAGTATTAGAGCTTGTAATAGTTCCATGGCTAATAACAAGGACATCTACAATCAAGTGGGTCTGTTTCAAAATGCTATCTTTTTTTGTGTGTTTTAGAACTTGTTCTGACTGCTTTTGGTTTATGCTTATGTTGTTTTTTGTCTGTGATAAAGTACCTTTGGCGGTTCAATCATTGTGGATGTGGCTCTTGTTACTGTTTATGTTTGATTGCCCTTTTGCTTGTAGAGGTGAAATGGGATGGT